TTTTTTTTTTTTAAGATTTTTATTTATTTGTTTGACAGAGAGAGACACAGCGAGAGAGGGAACACAAGCAGGGGGAGTGGGAGAGGGAGAAGCAGGCTCCCCGTGAGCAAGGAGCCCGAGGCAGGGCTCGATCCCAGGACCCCGGGATCATGACCTGAGCCGAAGGCAGACGCTTAACGACTGAGCCACCCAGGCGCCCCTTTACCACAATTATATATAGAGACCCCCCCTCAAGAAATGTGAACAATCTCTTCCCCACTTAGGGCAGCGCAGTGACCCTCAGGACAGGCAAAGGGTAACTGGGGAGGGGTCACTGTAAAGGGGAGTTGAGGAAGGGGACCGCTCACCGCCGTGACTACAGGCCTGTCCTGAGCAGATTATCTGAAAAACTTGAGGATCTGTAAATGGATTTCAATAAAACTGCCTGCTTGTGCATCTTCTGAAAAATCTGAAATTTTGGAGCGCACCATCCCAGGTGGAACACCCTTGATCTGCAGCCTGCTGGCTGGGTTTCCTGCCTTTATTGCTGGCCTTCCAGAGGGTCGGGGTTCTGGCTCACCCAGAGCAAGAACAGGGAGAAGCCAGCATTGTCCCCCCACCCCACCCGCCGCAGGTCAGCTCTGGCCTCCCACACCCCTTTCCTTCACCCTTACTTTCCCATCCCACAAACTTCTCTGGGTATTAGAAGAATCTGTTGATGAGGATGAGTCAAGGCTGAGGGTTGCGGCTGCTCTCTTATGGAACTGGAAAGAGGCCCAGTGGGACACACTGTGTGCCCAGAAGTGGAACAGGAGTCTGAATGGGGGCTGTGAGGGCCCAGGGATGGTGACACATGGCTTTCGACCCTTCACTGAGCCAGATGGGGATTGCTCCTGGCCTAGGGCTAACAGCACCTGCCAGACCCAGGCATTCTGGCTTCTCTCTCTGGTGAGATTCTCCCTTGCCTCAGGCCCCAGGGCAGAGACCACCAAGGAATGAGGAGGTTCCAGGGAGCGGAAAGGCTTTAATGAGCATCACAACGGGACTGGGCGAGGGGTACAGACTCCAAATCCAGCCTCACTGCCATCGCTTCAGTGAGTAGGAAGGTGGGGGCCCAGCTCTGCTCAGCTGTCCCCTGACCCAGAGGCAGCTGGAGGGAAGTCCCTGGGAATCTTTTCTCCCCAGCAAAGGGGGTGAGAGAAAGGGGAGAGGTCTGCTGCCGCTGCCAGGAGCAGGAAGACCTCAAGCAGCAAGCTGACCTCCAGAGGTCAGGAGGGACCCCGAATCAGGCAGAACATCAGCCGCTGGAAGGGTTGATGGGCTAAGCAGGCGAGGAAACTCGTGGGACTCCCCAAACAGCATTGAAAACTCAGGGGGCCCCAGAGCCTGCTGGCTCCAGGGACTAAGACCCCTAGGGAGTCACCCCCAGACGGGGACATCACAAAGGGGCCCTTTGCCCTGTTCAGCAAGGGCCAGCAGAAGATCTGGAGGGAGAAGCGAGGATGGGAGCCTGGGTGGGCGGAGGAGGCCGAGGGGAGCCTGGGAAGTGCACCAGGGGCTGGGCGGCAGGCAGCGGCCGTGAAGGGAAGGTGGGAGGGTCTTCTAGCTGCTGTCCTGCTGTTCCTGCTGGCGGATGAGGTTGGCAATGGGGCTGGTGATGCCGCCTATCAAGGTCCAGTACTCATCGAAGCTGATGCGCCCATCGTGGTTGGCGTCCAGGTTCTGGATGAGCTTGTCGGCAGCCTTTCGGTTCCCCGTGTCCTGGAGAGGAATGGGGGTCAGCAGTGCTGAGGGCAGCGGCCCCACAGAGCCCAAGGCAGGACTCCTGGGGCTCTGGACTGAGTAGCTGCTGCCTGGGAAGATTCGAACCGAGCCCTCCCTGGTCAGGCCTGGGGACCCTGAGAGGACAGAGGCCTGGGTGGGGAGGGGGGAGACCCTGGTTTGGGGGGTCACTCTGAAAAGACAGAAGGCACAGTGAGGGAGGGTACCATGTGAGGACAAAGGCTTGGGGGGTGGACAAGGCCCTTGGGTTGGGGGACCTCACCGTCAGCATATGGTTGAGCTCTTTCTGAAGCATCTTCCGGAAGCTGCTCTTGCTGATCTTGTTCTTGACCAGGCTGTGTTTAGGCACGTACTTGTAGAAGTTTTCCACCAGGACCACGACCGCCTTCTCCAGCTCCGTGTAGCAGTCTGCCATCTCACCGCCTCACTCCTAGGGGGGCCTGGGCACCATGAACAGGGGAGGTGAGGAGACCCCACAGTCCAAACCGCGTCCGGCCCCCCGCCCTCAACCTCCCCCTGGGCCCCCAGGCTGGCAGGAGGGATGCAGGAGAGATGAGGCAGGAAAAGGGGGGCACCAGGGTGGGCCTGGAATGCGAACTGTGTGGTTGCTGTAATCCAGATGCTCACCAGCTCAACCGCCCCAACAGGTTCCCCCAGCAGCTTCCCCAGGCCCTGCCCCAGCCCCAGGCACTTGGCCTGTCAGAGCCCCAGTGAGATCAGGAGGCTCCCGTGGGAAGGGGGTAGAGTAAGTGCCCATCCCTCTGCCCTCTCCACACCTGACCCACCCAGGGTCCCTGCCCTGGGAGCAAGCACAGCTAGAAGGGGGCGGGGAGGCCAGAAGCCGTATCCCCCCAGCGGCAGGATTGGCAGAGACCCTGGTCCAGGCCACAGAGCAGGGGGCAGCGACCTAGGCCCTGCCCAGTCCCTTCAGCTGGGCACCAGGACAGGGACCTCAGGAGCCCAGGGAAGGTTGCCCCTCTCTGGGAAAGGGTGATATCCTCATCCATTGATTCAGACTTTCTGCAGACCCCCACCTACACCCTGCTAGGCTGCCCTCCCTCATATCCACCCCAAAATACATAGGAGGACCCAAAGACCCTCCAGCCCATTACCTAAGGAGGAGCTAGGCCTGGTTCTGCCCCAGCTGGAGACAGAGCTGCCGACAGAGGCCACATGCATCACCCCCTCACACCAGGACAAAAGGCACTCACAGTCCAAGCGGATACAGCCTTCTGAATAACAGGATATGAGGGGAACAGGCGGGTCTACTCTGTGAGTCGCCGCCCATGCCCAGAGCCCCCCCAAGTGAACCGGGGCAAATGAGCCTCCCTTCCTGCCCCCAAGCCCAGGAATGTGCTGCAGCTGCCCTGCTCTTGGGTCCTGGCAAGGGAAGGTGGACACAGCCACCATCCAGTCCTGGGCATCCTGTTGCCCAACCTGGAAGAGAGGTCTGCTTGGCCAGGCCTCACCACAGCCGTATCCCCTGCCCTTGGCACCCTGCCTCCCTGGCTCCCAGACTCCCAGGCTGCACTGGCAGGGACTACCGTCTCTTCCGGGGTCTGGTCTCCCCAGATACCAGGCATTCCTTGAGGCAAGGAGAGTTTCTTACGTGCAGCCATTTGTGTTTTCTGAACCAAAGGGCATGACTCATTGACTTCAGGACCACTTTTTTCAAATCCTAAGTACATAAGCTCCCTGCTTTTAATTTCTGCGTCTCCCCTCGCCTGCATCATCTGGCACAATGGCTTACTTGAGGTGTATGTTCTATAAATATTCTACCTCCTTCCAGCCCTGGTATCAGGTATCCAAAGCCCCTGACCACCCTTCTAAGATACTTCCCTTACGAAGCTCTTTATGAAGGAAGGATGTGACCCAGAGGGATGAAGCCCTAATGGAGGAAGAAAGTGGGGGTTGAGACAGAGGAGCGTCTCTGACCAGGGACCCTGCCTTCTGTCCCTGCCTTGCCCACCTGACCACTCTGGTCTGTGGCTAGAGGATGGAGAATGGAACTGGGACTACATTCTTTCCCCATGCTTTTTGTTTATTAAGTGTGTGACTGGGGGTACCTGGGTGGCTCAGAAAGTTAAGCGTCTGCCTTCAGCTCAGGTCATGATCCCAGGGGCCTGGGATCAGGCATCGGGCTCCCTGCTCATCAGGGAATCTGCTTCTTCTCCCTCTCCTGCTCCCCCTGCAGGAACATGCTCTGGGCATGTTCCCTCTCCCTCTCTCTCTGTCAAATAAATAAAATCTTAAAAAAAAAAAAAAAGGTGTGTGACTGTGAGGTCCAATGTAAGACTTTCATGCAAACACCCTAACACTCACAAATGACAAGGGAGAAAAGTTTTGATCCACAAACCACTGTTCTACTGCCCCTGAGTGGGGAGTGGCCCAGGACCAGGACCCGCATTCCTGGGGATTCCAAAAGCTGTACCCACCTCAGCAAGACTGTGCCAAGCCTACTCCCCACAAGCTTTGGCAGTAGGAAGGTAGCTCAGAGAACCCTCAAACCTAAACCATTCCAGACCTTGTTCCTAAGTTAGGAACCTGTGGGAACTAGTCAGGGAGAGGAAAGAGAAAGAAATCAGCTTTCGGGTCCTGTGCCTCTACCTCTTCCCCCTGGCCCACCCACCCTCCTCCCTACCTTTCTTAGAGTCTTATTTCTCTGACTCCTCCTGCCCTTCCTGATACCACGTCCCAGCCCGTACCTGGCCTCTGGCAGCCGAGCAGGCCAGACACAGCTGAGCACCCAGGACAGTCAGCTGCCTGCCTCAGCAGCCCTGGTTTTTGGTCCCCAATAGTCCACCCTCCACCTTCTAGTCAAATGGGAAGGCAGGAGATAGCCATCGGGATGAGCACTTCTCCGAAGCTTTTTCTGGAGGAAGGATATCAGAGTGGGATAGTCAGGTGTCATTATCCTCTTCCTCCCTCCCTCCCCTGGGGGCCAGGACACAGGCACCTGCCCCTCCCACCTGCCGCATTCAGCCACCAACCAAGTTGGAATCAGGCTGGAGAGCCAAGCTGTCCCATCAGTCCCTCCTAGGAAGGGTTGGCAGGAGGTAGGTCCTGGCCTGAGAGCCTGGGGGGTGGGGTGGACATGTACATTAGAGCCTTCCCAAAATGTAGGAGTGGGGGGACCACTTGTCCTCCAAAGGGCCTTCTCACCCAGAGCCCCCAACCCTCCCCCAATGTTCTCCTTGTCCCTTCCTTAGCTGATTCATCCTTGAGCAACCCAGAGGCCCCACCCCCATCCCCGCCCACCTCAGTCCAGCTTGCTGACTTCTCCCAAAGCCTAGGAGCGCTCTGACCCTTGACCCTGGGTCTTGGCCACAGCAGCCCCGCCTCCCACCCCCAGGTTCTAGGCCTCACCCCTCCAATTGCCTCCTAACCACCCCCAGTCCCCTTCAGTCTGGAGCCCTGAACATCCACCACACACAAATCCACCCTCTCTCCCCACTACACATACTCTTCTCAAGTCTCGAATGGTCTCTAGGTGTTGGGAGATGTCCCTGAACTTTTATGCCTCCTGGTCACCGTCCTCTCTAGAGCTTGGCCCACTCTCAAGCCTGAATTTGGCGTTTCCTGTGTCCCTTTCATACACCTCAAATTCGTTCACTCATTTATTTATTTATTATTTATTTATTTATTTATTTATTTATTTATTTATTTGACAGAAAGAGACACAGTGAGAGAAGGAACACAAGCAGGGCGAGAGGGAGAGGGAGAAGCAGGCTTCCCACAGAGCAGGGAGCTTGATGCAGAGCTCGATCCCAGGACCCTGAGATCATGACCTGGGCCAAAGGCAGACGCTTAATGACTGAGCCACCCAGGCGCCCCAGTTCACTCATTTCTCATCATTTATTTCCTTCTTCATCCATCAGCTCATTTATTCACTCATTCAATCACCTGCTAGTTCTCTCGTTCACTCACTCATTCCTTTCCTTCTTCATTCATTCGTCTGCCCCAAGTGCCTTCGGTACACAGGGAAGGTGCGATCCGGACTGGCTGGTACCTTGTCACTCTATTTACAAGGCTGTTTCAAATGAATATCTCCAACCTCGACGGCCCCATTCTGTGCCCCGTCTTCTCACTCCTTTCCTGGTTCCAGAGGCTACTGTCTCACACAGGAGCCCCTGCCCACCCCCACCCTCACAGGACTCACTGCATCTAATTCACACATCCACACACAGAGCCCCCATGCCCCGTCCACCCCCCTCTGCTTTAGAGCATGTCTCTGGAGCAATAAGTCCATCCTCCGGAGCAGCGTCCAGACGAGTGGAGTTGGACTATGGTGTGGACACTCACACAGCCTACTGCCCCTGGTCCCCTGGTCTCACCAACAGCCAAGAGCTCTTTACTAGTCAGCAAGGAAGGCTGAGCCCGGCCCACCAGCACTCGCAGTGCTCCCTCTCGGAGCGCCCCTGCCCTCACCCCCAACCCTGCCGGGCTGGGCACCACAAGGCCCCAACAGTGCAGGTGGCTCCACCAAGCGAAGCCAGTCAAGCCACAGCCTGCCTGGGTCCTGAAGTGGAAACGGCCTCCTCTCCTCGGCTCTCAGGCTCGCTGGGCCCTTCCTGGTTCCTCCTGGACCCCATCACCTCTCCCAGGACACAGTTCCCAGAGCTGGGTGAGGCCTGTGTCCAGGTCTGACCACCTCCCCACCCCCACCAACATGCGTTTGTCCTTTTTCTGTTAAGGGAGGATCGGAGCAGCTGCGACAAAGCTCCTGAGCACTCTGCCTTGTGGCACGGCCCTGGAGAAGAGCCCCGTCAGCCTCTGGGGTAGGGAGGGGGTCTCCCCACCCCATCCACACCTCTGAAGGCCTCTCCAGCCCCCAGCCCCACCAGAAGTCTCCATTCCCAAACCAGCCTGTGGGAAAATTAACAATTAACCGAACCTTCCTGCCCAGTCTCTAGCAGGCCCCCCGCTCCAGGCTCCCTTCACTGCCCCTCCTCCTGGCCCCAAATGCTTGCAGGGCCTCTCCAGCAGCCCCAGACCTCCCAGGATGGGCTGGGGGTGCTCACCTGCCTCCTCGACTGTCTCCTCTCCAGCAGGGCTCTGGGGCCTGGGCTCTGGCACTGCCAAGCAGCTCCCCCCGCCCCGCTCAGCTCGGCCAGGACTCCTCCCCGCTTCGCTCCCAGAATCTGTCCCACTCCCTCAGCAGCGTGCCTGGCTGAGCTGGCTCGGTGGGGAGGTAGTGACTGAGCTCCCTCTTGACTTAGCCCTGGGGTTGGGCCCTTGTTAAAGAGATACACACCTTTTTTAACACCCCTCCACCCCCACCCCAAAGGGAGTGGTGGAAGCAGGCACCCCCTCCCAACTCCACCCTCCTCATCCTGCAGGGCTTGAGCAGAAAGAATCTAGTCGGTGGAGAAGAAAGGGAAGGGCTGTCACCTGCCCTGATCACCTGGATCACTGGGAGCCCAGTTTCAGGGTCCCCCAACAGACAAGTTCAGTGAGCATTCCAGGCCAGCCTGGTTGACCACAGAAACTTCCTTGCTCTTAGGATTTCAGGAGTAATGCCTGATTTCTGTGGGCCCCAGTCAGAAGCCGCAGCAGAGCCTGGCCCCTGGTCTTGCGACTCCCGTTCCGACCACCAGGAGCTGACACCCATTCCTAGGACCTGTCAGGTGCAGCAGAGGATTCTTCTGGGAACACCCTTCCCAGGACACCCAAGGGAATTGGCCAGTAGAGACTTCAGCTCTGGGCGCTTGCTCTGTGTCAGACTCTCTTCTAAGGACTTTATGTGATGTGTCCACTATCCTCTTAACAAATCTGTGAGAGATGTGAAGACCCCATTTTACAGATGAGGAAACTGACACTCTCTGTGAGCACGCCCAAAGCTCCAGAGATGATCGGTGGCAGAGCTGGGCGCAAACCCAGGCTGCTTGGCCTGTTTCTCAGCCCTGCCTTTCCCTTGCTGCCAGTCAGCCAAGGTCCAGCACACCGGGGTCCATAAGCGCTTCCCCAGGTGAGCACACGTGGCCTCTCTCCTGTCAGAGGACCAGGCCCTTGGCAAAGAGAAGCCTATCCTTCAGAGAGAACCAGGTCTCCCAGCTTGGGGCCTGGGACCCATCCTCAAGCCAAATCCATGGGGAAAAGTGAGTCCCCACTCACTCCCACTGCAACCACCGCAGCCCCACGTGTCCCGGGCCACCAAGGACTCTGCCATTCACCCCAAACCACCCGTGGACCGAGGTGGGGGGTGGGTGTCCAGTCAAAACAACATCTTTTCTTTTTCCATTTTTTTATTAGTCAAATGATACAAAACAACCATCATTCTTTAAATGCCCAAGCACCCAGCTGGTCCTCTCCCAAAGTAACACCCTCCTCCGCCTCTCTTTCTCGTCCCCTGCCCTGGGCCAGGGACAGAGTGCTGGGACAAGGCTGGGGCAGAGCTGGAGGCAGGAAGGTGTAGCACTGGACAGACAGCTACTGTGTGGGTTGGGGAAGAGATTAGGAAGGGCAGGTTCTCAGAGACCCTTTTTAGTAACAAATACCCAGCCCCATTCCCAGCCCCCTTCTTCCAGTCATTTCCGGTAGCCCACCTCCTCTCTGCCCTCCCACCCCCCCAACCAAATTACTTGGCCCTCTCACCATCCCTATCCCTCCAGCAGCTCGCCACACCTATCCCTGGCCCCCACCCACCCCGAGCCTCCCTCTGGTGGGGACTCCTGGACCCGTTAGCTCCATGGCGCTCCCAGGGATGAAGTGCACAGAGAGCCCTGGGAAGGGTCACTGAGGACTTGAACCTTGCAGAGGTGAGGCAGGTGCAGACGGGGGAATCGTGTGGTGCAGGTGGAGAGGACTTTTATTTCTAGACCCCAACATCCCCCCCAAGAATTCCAGGAAAATGTTCTCAGCTGCCCCGGACAGGGCTCTCCAGCTTCACACTCCTGGCTGCTTCTCCAATCAGCTCCCAGAAACTCCCAAACTCCAGTTTAGAATCGGTACAGCTGCCCAAGTTGGCAATTTTCTCTTCCAGCCCACAGTTGCTCTGAGGGGAGGGAAGACACCACAGCTCAGCAAGGCAGAACCTCCAACCTTCCTGCCCCACCCTGCCCGGGGGCAGGAAGCAGGACCTGTGCCCGGCACTGGCAAGGGGAAGGGCCGGGGCTGCTAGTGCCCGGGGCCGGGGCACAGTGGGTGGGGTCTTGGAGACCCTGCTGGGGAAGTCGGGGCGCTGCCTGGGCTGGGGCCCACTCAGTACCTGAATGAGGTGGGGCAGCTGCTGGGTGACCAGGTCCTGTAGTTCGGAGGCAGTCAGCGTCTCCTTCCCACCCTCCACAGAGTACTGGTGGAAGTTCTTGATGAGGGTCTCAATGGCCCTCTCCACGTCGCTGAATTCCTGCGCATCCTGAGGGCAGGGGACATCAGCAGCATCAGTGAGGCCCCACCCACCTAACAGCACCCTGGCTAATGGGGCAGAAGACAGCTGGAAGGCACAGGCGCTCCCACCCACTCCAGAGCCCAGCATCTAGCCCCCTGCCCCCACTGGCCTCTGCCCTGAGCCACAAGCCAAGCAAGGCTTCCTCCCTGTCACTGGCAGCCCCCACGCAGGATGGGTTCTAGCACGAGGCATGGACACCTCTTCCCAGGAGGGCTCCTTGTGTGGACACATCACCCTGTGTAGACACCAGGGAGGAGTTTGGGTCTTCCAGGCAAGGTCTAGGGTACAAGGCAAGGCCAAGGCAAGGGGGCAGAAGTCAATAGGGACGCAGACCCTCAAGGTGGAGGAGGGGAGCATGGGAACAGAAAGGCCAGGCATGAATGGGCCCACCTCAGCATTGGCTGACCGACACTGTCCCATGGTGCCCAGTGTGCTTATCCTGGTCAGAGTTGTGTTGTCCTACAGCTGGCCGCAGGGGAGCCGATGGCTCATGATCTGCCTGGAGGAGGGAGACCGAGGGGAGGGGAGGGCTCAGCATTTCTTTCTCAACTATCCCCTCTGGCTGTACCCCAGATATTCTGTGCCTCGCTCAGGAGGTCGGGGCCAGCTCCACACGAGGCCCGGTCCCTGCGACGGATCCAGGCAGGAGCTAAGGTCACAGCCCCCAGGCCCACCCATCCAGAGGGAATCCCTTGGGCCTCACCCTAGATCAATCCTCCCACTTCTTCCCACCACTCACCTCTGCTATGCGCACACACACACACACACACACACACACACACACTCCAGCCTCTAGGACCTGGCCCCCAGCCCTTCTCCTGGCAGGCCAGGGTAGAAGAGCCAAGTGTTGCCCTCTGGACAGGGGGCAGCCCATTTAGTTGAAAAGCTCTGTGTCTCCTTACCTGCTGGGAGCTGCTGGGACAGGATGCTAGGAGTTGGCTCACCTGAGCTCAGCTCTTATACCTGGGGGCAGGGAGGGAAGGCAGGGGGCTGGGCCTCCTCCCTAAGCCGCCCCTGCTATTACTGTGGTCTGGGCTGTGAGCCAGCTGTGTGGGCCCCACCCTCCATTGGCCAGAGCTCCAAGAGCCCGCCCACCCTGCCACTGGAGGGGACCATGGAGGGCTGGGTCTGGATTGCCCCTGGCCCCAGACCAGCAGGCAGAGTCAAGGCAAGAGAAAGGGAAGGGAAGAGTGGGGCCTTGGCAACACTGCAGGGTGAAGCCCGGGAGGAGAATGCTGGAGGAATTGTAGGGCAGGGAAGTGGAGGGGCTTTGAGAAGGAGAATCAGAGGCTGATCAAGGCAGGGCTTGTGGTCCAGGGGGAATGAGGGACATGTGAATTGAGAGAGGTCCCCAGGGACCACTCTGTGCTTTGCCATGTCACACACACGCACTCATACTCCTCCCAACAGGGCCAGTTTGGATGGTGACACTCATACCTGCAGTCCCCATGGCTGAGAGGTGGGGAAGGAGCCACAGAAGGGCAGCCTGGTAGAGGGGACCCGACTGAGTGTTGTCCCGACTCCCCTTCAGCTCCCCTCAGCCAGCAAGCACATGAGTGAGAGAGACCCAGATGGGTTACCTGGCAGTTAACAACCTCTCCAAACAGGTTGGGCTGCCTACTTCTCCCTCCCTCAGAAACCCATGCCTTCCCTAACACCCCCACCCCAATCCAGTGCCCAGGATGACATCCCAGGAAGCCTGGAATGACCCCAGTGGACCTCCTCACCTGATGGGGAGGGGGAAGGGAGAAGGGCAGGTGAGTTAGTGTGGGTCAAGGCAAGGATGGGGTGGGGCCCAAAGCCTGAACTCTGAGGTCAGGAGCATGTCTCCCACGCCCCTCCCAGCCCGTCCCTGTGTCTCCTTCTAGGGCTCCCCTCTACTTCTAGAAGTGTCTCCATGAAAATGCCCTCCCAAGAGTATCTCATCATCTTGTGTTCCTCAGAGGGTCTCAATCTGGGGACCCCCCTGAGGGGCTCAATCTGAGGGTTTCTCCAAGAGTGCCTCAAACTTGGATCCCACTGAGGAGTCTCAGTCTGGGGGGCCCTCCTAGAGTCTCTCGCTGCGGGGAAGCCCCCTGTGAGATCCCCTCTGGAATGTCTTCAGCCAAATAACCCCTCAGAGTCCCAGCCTGGGGGTCCTTCTGGGGTCTCTCAGTCTGAGGGCACTTAGATGGAAGGTCTCAATCTAGGACCCTTTTTGGTGTGTAGTAGGGAGGTTGTCTCAACCTAAACGTTCCTCTGGAGTAATGGACACCAGACCCTGGCAGTGACAGCCGACGGAAGGCCTCACCCACTGGGCTGCCCTGCCTCTGCTCCCTCTGGTGGCGAGCAATGCAAACCATACGCCCCTCAAGCCAAGAAGGATGGGGAGAAGGGCACCACCGTCCATCCCACAGTCTTCATACCAGATCCTTGTGTCCATTCTTCTGCCTCACCCCTGCTATGCAGGGAGGAAGGAGAGGAGGGCCTAGTGTTCCCAAGCTGCCCATCCAGAGATGATCCTAGTTCATCACAGAGGCTATGGAACATCAACCCAGTTCCACCTATTCTTGTCTTTGTGAGCTCAGCCTCTCTAAAATCTGTCTCCTCATCTCTAATATAGGACCTAAAAATAGCACCTCCCTGGAGGGCAGTGGGCAGGGGATGGGCTAGACGGGGGACAGGCAGTAAGGAGGGCACCTGTTGTGATGAGCACTGGGTGGTGCATGGAAGCGATGAATCACTGAAGTCAATACCACACCATATGTTAACTAACTAGAATTTAAATAAAAATGTGGAAAAAAATAGTACCTACCTCAAAGGGCTGTGAGAATTAACTAACTTAACACAGGAAAAGTGTTTAGTACTGTGCCTGGTACACAGCAAGCCCTCAACCCAAGTTCACTGCTATCCTTACCATCCAATGACACAAAACCCCAGGAATAAGAAAAGTGGGAGCTGCGGAGGCACCTGGCAGAACAGGACTCATTACACCTGCCCCAGAGATCTGTTCCTTCCTTTCATATACTCATTCATCAACCATTTACTTATTGAGCACCTACCCCGTCTAAGACCTGGTGCTAGACGCTGTCGAATCCAAAGATGACTAACATTCCTGGTCCTTAAAGAGCTCATAATTTTCTTTTAAGACTTATTTATTTATTTGACAGAGAAAAAGCACAAGCAGGGGGAGCTTCAGAGGGAGAGGGAGAAGCAGGCTCCCCGCAGAGCAGGGAGCTAACACAGCGCTCGATCCTAGGACCCTGGGATCATGACTTGAGCTAAAGGCAGACACTTAACCAACTGAGCCACCCAGGTGCCCCAAGAGCTCATAATTTTTGGACCCACTCTTGGTTCAGGGCAGAACTTATGCACTGCTTACTCTCAAGAGAAGAAAGAGGGGTAGGGTGGGAATAAGAAACATTTATGTTTCAAGGAAGAGGCTTTTTTGGAGGGCGTGGGGTTCTGTCTGGCTGGCCCCGCCCAGCACTGTCCTGGTCAGGGCTTTACTCCTTCCGGATCTCCAGGGCCCTCTCCTTCCGGATCTCCTTGGCCAGCTCCCCTATCAGTCTCCAGTATTCGTGAAACTTGAGCTCGGAGTCCTGACTCACATCCAAGCTCTTCATCTTCTCGTCTAAGGAGCCCACGTCCTGAGGAGACACCAGAGGAAAGGCTGGGGTTAGAAATGAGAGTTCCCAAGACAGGGAGAGGCCAAAAGTGCTCATCTCCACTCTCTCCATAGAGGACCTGCCCAGCTGCAGCCCCCGGGCGGCGCTGCCACGGGGTCGGGCACTTAACCGCCTCTCCAGACCAGCCGGGCTGCCACAGCTGTAGCAGCCGGAGGCAGGGGGCCCGACGTGCAGTGTCTGCCGGTGTGTAAACACTCCCACCACGGCTGACTGTGAACCACAAACACGGTGTCACTGAACACAGAGCTGGCAAGAGGTGCGCACAGTGGGCTCTCGCCCACAGGTGGTGAGCTCCAGCACACCACTGCACCTGTGATTTGCCCAAGGGCCCACTCTGGCCATCCGCAGAGCACAGGACCCCGGGGGGCCACGTAGGCACGGGCCACTCTGGGTGCTCAGAGCCTTCTCAGGCCACAGAAAGCTAGAGAAATTCACGGCCCTAAGCTGCTCATTCGCATAACCCCAACGTGTCCCATTTTTTCCAGTTTGGTTATTAGCCTGGTTGATCAGAGGAATGGCAAAGACATGGGGCATCTGATTTTGTCCTTGACAAAGTCTCGCATGACAGGACTGTGAAATCAAAGGACATATAAACTGGACCCATGATCAAAGGATCTGTTACTAGATACACAATCACAACCAAAACATAACCTATTGAACAACGGACTGATGTCAAGCTAGAGAAGGGTGCCTCAGGCAGAGCCTAATGCTCAGTATTTGAATCAATATTTGCATGAAGGCAGAGAAGACATGCCAAATCCACAGAGGGCACAAAGCTAAAGCTAATTCATAGAAAAGCTAAGCAAGACCTTTGTAAAAGCCACAATCATGCCTTTTTTTTTTTTTTTTTTAATATTTATTTGGGAGAGAGAGACAGCAAGCACAAGTGGGGGGAGAGGCAGAGGGAGAAGCAGACTCCCGCTGAGCAGGGATCCCGACACAGGGCTCGAATCCAAGACCCTGGGATCATGACCTGAGCCGAAGGCAGACACTTAATCGATTGAGCCCCCCAGGTGCCCCCACAATCATGTTTAATTTAAAACACTATAAGAACTGCCCGTGGAAGGCAAAGATGCCCAGTGTAACATTATATTGGGAGGGAGGAAGACATACAATTAATCAAGAGAAAGAAATAAAAGGTATAATAAGTATTAGGAAAGGAGAGGCAAATTCACCTCTTATTATATCAGCAGTTATATAATTGCAGACCTAGGAAAAACCAAGAGCGATAATGACCAACATTTCAACAATTGTAAGCACTTAATAGTGCTGACTGTTCCAAGGCTTATGCTAAACACAGGACATGCCTTACTCCATCTAACTTCATAATCTGCTGGAATGACGGGGACCTTGTCCACCTTGTTCACCACTGTAATCCCAGTGCAAGGGAGAATGTCTGGCACGTAGCAGATGCCTGTTCGTCACTGTAACCCAAAGCCTAGGACAGTGTCAGGACAGGACATAGTAGGTGCTCAATAAATATTGATTGAATAAATGCAATCCAACAAGGAAGGTATTATTATAAGTCTATTTCACAGATAAGAAATTAAGGCTCAGGGGCGGCTGGGTGGCTCAGTCGTTAGGCATCTGCCTTCGGCTCAGGTCATGCTCCCAGGGTCCTGGGATTGAGTCCCGCATCGGGCTCCCTGCTCAGTGGGAGGCCTGCTTCTCCCTCTCCCACTCCCCCTGCTTGTATTCTCTCTCGCTGTGTCTCTCTCTATCAAATAAATAAAATAAAATATTAAAAAAAAAAAAGAAATTAAGGCTCAGAAGGAGTGGGTGACCAGGGAAGACAAGCTAGAATCCGCATTTGAACCTAGATTTTCTGACTCAAAGCTTAATGCTCTTATCCACTACTCTGTATTTCTTCCCCCCAGTCAGAAAGTATACGAAAGATCCTGTTTAAAAGAGTAACAAATGGGGGCACCTGGGTGGCTCAGTCACGTAAGCATGTGCCTTGGCTCAGGTCATGATCTAAGGCTCCTGGGATGGAGCCCCGCACTGGGCTCCCTGCTCAGCAGAGAGCCTGCTTCTCCCTCTCCCTCTCCCACTCGCCCTGCTTGTGCGTTCACGCATGCGCTCTCTCTCTCTCTCTCTCTATCTCTATCTCTGTAAAATGAATAAATAAAATATTTTTTTAAAATAGTAACAAATGAAATAAAGCACTTAGTCATAAATTAAGAAATCAATTAAGCTTTTGTGAAGAAAAATGAACTGAAGAATATGAGAAAACATGAATAGAAAAATGTACCCTTTTTTTGAAAGACTCAATAGTGTAAAGATGTCAATTTTCCCTGAAATATAATTTTATATGATCCTAATTAAGTATCTACAGGATTCTTTTTTTTTAAGTTTTATTTTATTTTTACTCTTTTTTAGTAACCTCTACACCCAACATGGGGCTCAAACTCACAACCCCGAGTTCAAGAGTCACACACTCTTCTGACTGAGCCATCCAGGCGTCCCTCTATAGGATTCTTTTTAACATGATTAAATGTTTCTAAAATTCTTCTTGAAAAACAAACTGTGGGATCCACCACAAAATTCTGAAAAATAAGAATAATGAAAGAAAACCAACCCTACAGGTAATTAAGGCATATTAAAACTACAATAATCAAACAAAATTGTTAATAAATAATAAAGATTAATGAAACCCAATAAAGAGACCCAAAATACATATGGAAATTGAATAAATAATAAAAGTGGTATTTCAGCAGGAAAATTTTAATAATAAAATAAATTGTTGTTGTTTTTTTTTTAATATATTAAACTGAGAAAGACCTTTCCAAACTTGGCATAAAACACAGAAGCCATTGGGCGCCTGGGTGGCTCAGATGGTTAAGCGTCTGCCTTTGGCTCAGGTCATGATCCCAGGGTCCTGGGATCGAGCCCCGCCTCGGGCTCCCTGCTAGGCGGGGAGCCTGCTTCTCCCTCTGCCTCTGCCTCTCTCTCTCTCTCTCTCTCTCTCTGACTCTCATGAATAAATAAATAAAACATTAAAAAAAAAAAAAACACAGAAGCCATTCACTAGAAGTTTGATAGATTTGACTACAGAAAAATTTTTTATATTCTGTATGGCAAAAACTACCAAAAATAAAGTCAAAGGACAAAGGACAAGTTAGGAGAAAATGTTTGCAACACATACAATAGACAAAAGGCATATTTCTTTATTCTATAAAGAGCTATAATAAATCAATATGAAAAAGAAAATCTCTTAAATAAAAGAAATAGGCAAGCAATTCACAGAGGATTATCCATGTCCATCAAAAAAACTTTTTTTTTTAAGATTTTATTTATTTATTTGACAGAGAGAGACACAGTGAGAGAGGGAACACAAGCAGGGGGAGTGGGAGAGGGAGAAGCAGGCCTCCCACCGAGCAGGGAGCCCGATGTGGGGCTCGATCCCAGGACCCCGGGATCACGACCTGAGCTGAAGGCAGACGCTCAATGACTGAGCCACCCAGGAGCCCCTCAAAAAAACTTTTTAATTTTCCATTTCAATCAGAATTCAAGAAGTGTAAATCAGAGCAAGGGATCAGTTTCACATATTAGATTAGCAAAAACCAAGTCTGATAAGACCCGATTTGGGCAAGGACGCAGGGAAATAGGCATTTGTATGCACTGTTGGCCTTGAAACCTTGCTTGGGAGGCAATATCCATGAAAATGAAAAACAAACATGCTTTTGACCTAATATTTCTACTGCCACACATTTACCCTAAATATTTTCCTCAAGTATGTAAAGAAATGTAAACAAGAATGTTTGCAAAAGAAAGAAAATGGGTATCAGAAATATCCATCAATAGAAACTTAGCTACATAAATTTGTGTTAACCTATATACCATATGTATAGTGCATCATTTTCTTAAAACAGGAAAGTATCCACTTTTTTAAAGATTTTATTTATTTATTTGACAGAGAGAGAGAGAATGCGCACACGCACCTAAGCAGGGGGAGTGGCAGGCAGGGGAGAGGGAGAAGCAGGCTTCCCGCGGAGCAGGGAGCCCTTAGCAGGCAGATCCCAGGACCCCGGGATCATGACCTGAGCCGAAGGCAGACGCTTAACCGACTGAGCCACCCAGGAGCCCCAACTTTATTTTTTTTAAAAGATTTTATTTATTTATTTATTTAACAGAGAGAAAAAGGTAGCGAGAGCAGGAGCACAAGCAGGGGGAGTGGGAGAGGGAGAAGCAGGCTTCCCGCGGAGCAGGGAGCCCTTAGCAGGCAGATCCCAGGACCCTGGGATCATGACCTGAGCCGAAGGCAGACGCTTAACGACTGAGCCACCCAGGCGCCCCATGGTTCCATTTTTAAAAAGGTATTTGTAGAACAGTAGTTAAGATGCATTTATTCATTTACTCAACAATTCTTACTCTCTTTTTAAATTTTTTTTTTTTTTAATTTCACTCACTTGATATCTGCTCTAAGTGTTGGAGATAAAACAGTGAGCATATTCCTTTCCTTCATAGGACTTACATTCTTGGTAACATGTAAGTGTGTACGGAAGTCAGGTTGTGATGGGTGTGTTGTGAAAGAAAATAAAGGAGGTAAAGGAATAGAGGACAAGGAAGGTGATCTTTGCATTCTTAGGTGAAGGAAGGCAATGCTGAGGATTTGCCATTTGAGCAGAAATCTGAGTTCAGTGAGAGTAAGACTAGCCAATACCTAAGGAGTAAGCATTTTGGACCAGGAGAGCAAATAAGTATAAGTAACTTTGCTGCGTTTGAGTTTTGCTATAAAGGGGAGCGGAGATATAAGACATAGCAGGAGGGACTTACAGAGCCAAGAGAGAGGGTTGTTTTGGGTTTTGTTTTGTTTTGCTTTCCTTTTTTTAAGATGGGAGATATTACAGAATATTGGGAAACCAATCAGAACAATCCAGTGGAGAGGGAAAACTGATGATGCCAGAGAGAGGAGGAGGGACTGAAAGAGTCCAGATTTTAAGTGGTGAGAAAGAATGGAGTCGGGCAGCAGAGGAGGGTTGCCTTGGGCAGAGACAGAGGCTTCAGGTAACAGGCAGGCCCCGTAAATGCTGCTCTGCTTAGATTTGGGGAGACAGTACACAGGAGTTTCCTGATTGCTCTTAAGTTTCTCTAGAAAATTCTCAGTGAGAGGGAGAATGTGGAAAGAGGGACTGGGGTTTGAGGAGAGGAAAAGTTGTGACATTGTCATCTGAAAGAGGTGGTAAATGAACCAAATTGGGAAATGGAGCAGAACTGGCAGGCTGTGCCAAGGGCCCCCTTGGAGTTTGTGGTTCCAGAATTAAAGAGAGACAAGTCAACAATGTGTATCAACTATACTTCAATGAAAAAATAATAATAACAAAAATTATAAAGTGGGACAAGTCAACATGCAGCACCTTTTCCTGCAGCCAGATTCAGCTACCCAAGTGCAGAGGCAGAATGGTTCGTAGACAACTGATCGGGTTGTTGTTGTTTTTCCTTTGAGAACGGAAATTTTTGCTTTATTTTGGATCTGAGAAAGAATGGTAGATTTAACCCTCAAGTTAATGGAGGTGAAATATTGGACTTAACCTGAGTTGAGATTCTGTCAACCAGCACAGGGAGAAACAGAACCAAGGGAGCTGAGGGACTGATTGTGTTGCTGAGCCTTAGAACCCAGCTGAGTGAGAAGAGAACTGACACGAGGGGCTGACATGGGAAAGAAAATATGACAGGGTCAGGAGAATGACGGTCCCCATGGAGTCGAGGAAATGCTAGAGTGGGAGGAACAGAACTGGAATGGCAGGAGGTGGTACCCAGGGAAAAGGAGGCTTGAAATTGAGATTCTGGAGGTGGTACATTATTTTGCTAATGACAAGATCTGAAGCAAGAACAAAGGAGTAGGCTGATCAGAAGCAGGACAGAATCTTTGGAAGCAAGGAGTTGAAGAAGTTGAAAGGCCCAGGTGTTGGATGAATTTTCTGTGTGCTGACTGAGGACTCCGACAAAAGCAGTGATGAGAAACAGTAAGGCAGAAGCTGAAGGGGGCAGGTTCCAAGGAGCTTTGCATAGTAGGAAGAAGAAGAAACTAAGATCTGGAAGCAGTGACAAAAAGCTAAGAGGTCACTTCTTGCATTTCCAGGCCCGGAGGGAGTTGGATTTGGAGGAAAAACCAGTCACTATGTGGCAAGGCTACAGGGAATGTTGAACCTCAGGTGGAGTCTCAAGTCTCCTGAGAGAAGAGGAAGGGAAAAGTCTGAGAAGTCTAGGGATGTACGGGATTTTGCATATGATAGACTGAGTTTCCAAGATGTGTTTGTTGTTTGTTTGTTTATTTTTAAATCCATATCCACACACTTTCACGTGCCTGTGAATTCTCAGAAAGGGTATAAAAGAAACTTAACAGCCTGCTATGATTAGGCAACTCGGAGTGGATGAAATCTAAACTCCTACTCTGTCCAGCAAGTAGGAGAGAAGGAATGACCTTATCCGGTACGTTATTGAGGGGATTCCCAGAGGGGGTGAGAAGTAGTCAAAGATTACTTACAGGTCCCTCCTACCCTGAGGTTCTGTCACTCCATGAACTGGGCTATGATTTTCTTTTTGACAAACCCCTTTCTACAGCTGGGCCTCAGTTTCTATACATGTGAAGTGAGCAGTTTGGTCTGTGTTTTCTCTCGCCCTCCTTCTAGCACTGATGGTCTACGACTCTCCTGGAAGCCACCTTTGGGCCCACTCCTGTAGTGGAGAGGTAAGACCAGAGAGCAGACATAAGACCCAACAGCTCTGTCTGAGGGGAGTACAAAGTCCAGTAACACACTTGCACTCTCAACAACACAGTGTGGCCAAGCTACACACACAGTCACCCACACCCTTGTCCACCCCACACCCGGGGTCACATTATTGTGCCCGGAAACATCACCTCACATCCACAGTGTCCCGCAGCCACTGTCTTCCAAAATCTCAGGCCCAGAGACCCCCACTTACCTTGAGCAAGTGAGGCAACTGCTGAGCGGCCAGTTCCCTAAACTCATCGATGCTGAGGCTACCCTTCCGGCCCCCCTGCCCTGCAAAGGTGAAGAAGGTGCTGACCACTGTCTCAATGGCCGCCTCCAGCTCAGTCAGTGGCTCTGCTGCCATCAGGACTCTGTAGGACGGGGAGGGAGAGAAAGGGAGAGTTAGAATAGACCAGAGTGCCCTGCCCTGGCATTGCTGCCTCAGGCCCCTGCCTGGAAGAAGCATTATGGGCCAGGAGAGAGGGGACAGGGATGGAGCCTGGGGCAGGGACCAGGAAACGACAGCTCAGCGTAGGTGGGGGAAGGGGTGTTTGCTTCCAGAAACACCATCCTCTCTAGGTCTGAGCCTGGTGGTCCTTTCCAAGTGTCAGTGCCGTAGGGACCCCTCGGTGGTGGCCCTTCGGTCTGGAGACCCCTCTGAGAGGAGGCACTTTGGAGCGGCCCCTCTGTGGCCTTCAGTCCCAAGGGCCCTTTCTTGGAGGCTCACCCGGTCCCAAGGGGTCCTGAGGCTGCTGGTCTCCAAAGCCTGTTTGTGCAGCGACCCCGCCCGCCCACACGCTCCCGCCCGCTCTTCCCAGCAGACAAGCCCGGGGTCAGGCAAACCGCCGGCTGCGGTCAGCCTGCGATCAGGCCGCAGGGACCCCGCCCCGCAGGGGCAGCGGGCACAGGGCCCAGCCCACTCCTCCAGCCCCTTCCCGCCACTCCCCTCCACGAGGACAGCGGCCGGCCCCCCAAAGCCTCCCGAACCCCAGTCCGAGCTGGCTCGGGGAGACGCCCGGGAGCCCCGGGGCGGGGGTGGTGGGGGCGAGGGGCGGGAAGGCGCCCGGCCCCAGGGTGGGGGCACGGGACTCACCGCGGCAGGGGGAGGTGGGCGCAGGGGCCGGAGGGCAGGAGGGAGCGGAGCCCCAGCCCAGCCCGGAGGTGTCCAGCTTCTGCCTTGATGCCGGAGGGAGGAGACCGCCCAGGCCCGCCTCTCGCCCGCCTCCCGCCCCCCAGCATCCGGGCGGGGTGCCCGGGTCCCCCCGCCCGACCCGGCCCACGCGCGCCCCTCTGCAGGGGGGAGGCGGGAAGGCGCCTCCCGGACAGACCCCCTCTGGGCACCGGGAGCCCACCGCCCCGGTAGGCTCTGCATCCTAGAGGCCCGAGAGGGAGCCCTGGCCAGGAGTTCAGTCTGAGAAGCACCACTGAGAGCCCTTCCGAATGAGATCCTGAAAAGGACCCTGCAGCCCAAGACCCCCAAGAGGCTCCCACACACAGAGGGGAATCCCGCTGAGACCCCCGTGGAGAAAGATTTCCTGGACCGAAATCTCTCAGCGGGGAGTGAGACTCCCAAGATGAAAGGGATTCACTGAGAGGTCCCCTCACTGAGACCCCTCAGCAGGATCCTCCCCTTTCCTGCCAGTGCTGGGGTGGGGGTGGGGCGAGGCCTCTGCGGGTCCCTCCCAGGACCTTTCCCACCCCCTTCCGCCTGGGCCCTGCCTGCTGGTGCCCAGCAGGGAGGGGGGAGGCAACTGAGGCTGGACAAGAGGACACAGGGCAGCCTGTTCTAGCCCAGGAGACAGAGGGCGCCTCTGTCCACTCCTGGCCCCTTGCCCCACTGGGTGTCTGTCTGTGAAGGGGTGGAGCCAGTGGGGAGGGGGGGTCAGTGGGGGAAGGGCTGAAGACAGGTCTCCCCACACAGCTCCCTTAGCCACATTTGCAGACTCGTCCGTCTGTCCAGAACCTGCTCCCACCTCGGGTCCGGGCTGACAGTAAGTATCCTGTGTCTCCTGTGCTGGGTCTCTCCTGTGGCCAGCTTGGGGGAAAGGGGACTTCAGCAGGGCTCCTCAAGTCTGGGGACAATAGCATTGTGCTGCACCGAGGGTCTGGGAGGGGTTTGAGTGACAGCAGTTTGGGATTCGGGGGAGACAGGGTTTGGACAGTAGTGCAGGGAAGCAAGTGAAGGTCAGAGGGAGGTCTGTGGTATTCCTCAGAGAATGAAGAAGCCAGTGGGGAGCCCAGCCACCAAGCTTCCAGGAGATCAAGCCCTCCTACCACAGAGCCCTCAGAGTGCCCTCCCAAGGCTCCCTCACTCTCCCGGTGCTGGGGAAGGGAGCCAGCTCCCACCTTGCTTCCAGGCGGGTACGAATAAGAAGGCAAATGCAACTGTTGCTTCTGTCCCTACACCCACCACCACCCAGCCTTGCCAAGGGCTCAGGTCCCAGGGAAATCTGGGGGTGGCAGAGCATGGACCATGTGAGATCACGAGGAGGGGGTACTGTACCCACTCCCAACTTTCCTTTCACGTGACCTTCCCTTTCTTGGCTCAGACTTTCAGACTCCTCTTTCCTTCAAGTCTTTCCCTTTGTTTTCCTGTCTGCCCCCTCCCTGCCAAAGTACTCTCCAAACGGCCCCTACATAAAATCCCAGGCTGCTCAAGGGCTCCAGGCAACCTCTAAGTGCCCCTACTGGATGGGGCCAATAACTGAGCCACCAACAGCCCTCCCCCACAAACACTCTTATCCCCTCCATCAGTCCCGGCTTGGGTTCCATCTCCCCAGGTCTCTGTGACAACTGCTTCTCATGTCCAGAGTTCAGGTGACACTCACAAGGTTCCCATTGTAAAGGTGGAATGTCATTTGATCAGGGCCCATTGTTCAGCCCCCCAGGCCTGGGGAAAGACAAGGACACCTGATCTGAGACACCTGAGCTGTCCCCTGAGGCTGTGAAGGGGATGACCATCCCAAGGCCAAAAGAAAGAGGCCCACTGGCTTGGCAGTCCCCTCTCCTCAACAAAACTCTCCATTTTTCTCTTCTTCTCTCCCCTTGAATTCAGAGGACATACTCAGCCTTTTATCTCCCCCAACATATATCAGACCCATTCTCCTCACATCATCCAGGCTGGGCCTAGGCGAGGGAGTGGGCAGCAGCAGGGACAAGGCCCCAGGGGTCTCCTCTCCCTCACACTGGAAGCCCTGGCTCTGGGGAAAGGCTTGGTCATTCCTCTCTCGATTCCCACCATCACCCGATGGAAGGCCTGATTCTGCAGAGAAGTAAGAGGAACCAAACTAGAGGTAATGGAGATGCACCCCGGGGAAACCGAAGTGACCTGTTCAGGAGAGAGCAGAGTTAAAGGACCAAAAGAGGCCCCAGTCTGCTGACAGGAAGCTCAGAGGCACTTAGATCCCCGTCCCCATGAAGCCTTGGGCCAGCCACTCTGGCTGCCACTCTCTCCATCAGGCTGGCTGAGGGCACCAGACTGGCTCCTTGCTAGGGGTAGACAGCAGAATCAAGGCCGTAGGGAACGCAGCTCACCACCCTCAGCAGCAGAGCTTAGCTGTGCTAGGCAGGCAAGGCAGGGTAAAAATAGAGCCAGAGGAAGCTTGGCAGTGTCCTGTGACCATCCCTACCTGCCTGCCCCGCCCTCCTCAGTGTCCACCCAGGCAGCCAGGAGCCACTGCAGAGTCCACTGTAGGCCCCTAGAGCCAGCCCAGCTCCAGCGGCTCTACCTCCATGGCCCCAGTCCCTGACTCCCTCTGGCTGGGATATGGATTGAGGGACACAGAGAACAAGCCTGGATTTAGGCCTGTTTGGGTTCCCACATCCTAAAGTCTCAGTGAGAGATAAATTCCAGTGTGGCTCTGCTCTCAGGGCAACTTCAGGTGCAGGACCAGGGCCAGGTCTGAGGGCTCCCCTCCCCCCAACCCCAGATACCCTGAGCATGGTCCCCAACTTACTTCCATGGTGGGGGGCGGGTAGGTAAGCTGCGCGATGGGCTCTGAGCTGGAGACAGCGATGGAGACTCTCATCAATGTGTTCCATGCCCACTCGGGCAAGGAGGGAGACAAGTACAAGCTGAGCAAGAAGGAGCTAAAAGAGCTGCTGCAGACTGAGCTCTCCGGCTTCCTGGACGTGAGCACAGAGCGGGATACAGGGTGGGATGGGTGAGGGGTGGAGGAATAACAACTGGGGACCTCCCTACCATCTTCCCACCCCACCCCAACTCAGTCCAATCATCTTCTTCTTCTCCCAGACTTCTTTCCTGGATTTTTCTTGGTTCAAGGCAAAATACCCTAATTTGTTAATCACCTGTTAAGTGCTAGGACCCATGCAGACGCATCATTAAAGAAGGCTCACAGTCTAGAAGGGAAAGACTGACACATGGAAGTAAACCATGAATACCAGGAAGTAATCTGTTCAGGAGAGCCCAGAGTTGAAGGATCAAAAGAGGCCCCAGTCTGCTGACAGGAAGCTCAGAAGCACTTATATCCCCATCCCCATGAAATCTTGGGCCAGCCACTTAGGAACTACACAGAGCTTTAACAGAATTGCCAGAAAGGACTTCGGGACAATACTAACCTGACTGAAGCGGGCTTCTCCAAAGAGGTGGCACTTGAGCCATGGATTTCCACTGGAATATTATTAGGATAAATGTAGACATATTAGGATGTATCTGCATGAACAAAAGCCTGGAAGAAAGAACATGGAGCATGCTCAGTAGTTTTGACCAGAGTGAAGGATGCAGAAAATTAGGCTGCAAATGCTGATTATTCCATAATAAAGAAGCCAGGAGAGAGTGCACCAGCTTTGAGGTTTTATCAGGCCTGGGCTCCAATTCTGACCCTGCCACCTTCCAGCTGTGTCACTTAGGCACGTTATTTAACACCAACTGTTAATTTGTTTATTCTCTAGTATGCAAATAATGAAACCTACCTCATACTGTCTGTGTTAGAATTAACAATTTTACAAGACAATCCCTGTAAAGCTTCTCTAGGCACTCAACATATGGTAATCGATGTTGTTACTACTTTGCCTTGTTAAGGGGTTTATTCTGTAGGTAACAGGAGGCCACCAGTGTTAGTTTTAAGGAGGGACTCCGAACAGTCCCATAATTAGATGTAGTTCTGCCTCTTGCTCACCTCTGCCTTCTTCCCAATCAACTACCCCCCCTTGCCCCTGATTCAGTACTATTCATCTCCCTACAAACCCACCTCTCCATCTCCTCCCTCCACAGGCCCAGAAGGATGCAGATGCTGTGGACAAGGTGATGAAAGAGCTAGACGAGAATGGAGATGGGGAGGTAGACTTCCAGGAGTACGTGGTGCTGGTGGCTGCCCTCACAGTAGCCTGCAACAACTTTTTCTGGGAGAACAGTTGAGCAGACAGCCCCAGTGGGCAGCGCCCTTCCCCCTCCTTCCCCCTCACCCCACTTTTCCCTCCCTACACTCCTACCCTTGCCCACCCTCCACCAAGGGCGCAAGAGTAGTGGGCCAAGCCTGCAACTCATCTTTCATTAAAGGCTCTTCTCTGGCCAGCTGCTGTCTGTCTCCTCTGGGGTCTGGGAGTGAGGAAATCAAGGTTGCTCACTCCCAATTCACCTTATTTGGGAAGGGATCTTATTCGGAGAGAGGTCAAGGGGACATTACATCTTCCTAGCTGAGGAATGCTCAAGGCCCAGGAAGGTAGGTGTTCAAAGTTCCAGCTGCAAAGACAGAAGAATTTCCCTTCAGTCTGCAAAGAATATTTACTGAGGACCTACCATGTGCTAAACATTGTGTAGAAACTGGGGGTGTAGTGGTGCACAAAACAAACACGACCCTTACTGTCACATAGGTGAAGTCCAGTAAGGATGCCAGACCATTAAACACACACACACACACACACACACACACAAATGCTAGGAAGAAAACGGAAGGATCACGATGCACGTATACGCAGAAGGGTTGAAGATGTGCTCATTCACTCATTCCTCAAACATCTGAGGATTTTTATTGTGTACCCAGGCATAAGAAAAATCCTGTGTAGGTCTGCATCGAAACGCACAGGACTGGCAGATGGGGAGGGCATGGAAGGGGGAGCAGGGACAAAAAGACACCCCCCATAGGGATTTAACAATATTCAGGACGAGAAAAATATGCACAGGCATTGGTGACCGGCGGAGGATCCGGCGCCCTGGCCTTGGCGGGGGCGTCTACGGCTCTTCGCGTCCAGCACCGGGGCCCAGGTGC